TCCCATATTATCACATCCGTTGCTTCAAATAATTGTGAATGTTCCTTGTCTTTGTCAATGTTGCAAGTTGAGTTGTCCAATGTTGGCACGGGTATTTTGAACTTTGAGTGTGTTGTTCTTCCACATGGCAATAATAACGATGTTATCCCACTTGAAGCAACAGTAAGAAATTTTTTTACTGTAAACGAAATGCACTTGATAGTGTTCTCCACATGAAAGTTTTACCGTTTCCTCCGTAACCATGTAAAAAAAACACCCATCCTCTCTTGTTGTTAACAACTTCCATTATTGTATGAATTATTGCAAGTTATTCATCTATAAATTATAAAGTTATAATGATAAGTTAATTAAAAAAAATATGTTTATAAATTCAGAATAAAAATAAAACATATCACCTGTAAATGCATTAAAAAGTTTATTGAAATTATTTTTTTCGGTCTCAGCATTGTAATCAAGTTTGTCATAAATCAGCCTGTTTTTTCCTGCAAAGAAGTGATCCAATTAGGAAACTATTTTTTCCTAAACACTTGTTTCGCAGGCTATAAATCATTTAGTCCTAAAAAATAACATAATATAAAACACACCTCTTGCGCCTTGAAGTTGTCCCGTATTTTCTTACGCGAATCGTCGTCTTCTTTGAAACTAATAACTGATAGAAGGTTAAATCCTAGCTAGAATACAGCTCTAATAGCTAATTCTTTATTCAACAGAGCATCAAGTTCATAAGGGAATTCAAGGGGATTGTCTTCACCAACCTAAATTAATACCAAAAACTTAATACTAAAAAAAGTTATTTGATAAGTAATATTTGAACATACAAATATCACCTCAATTAATTCATTTTTCATTTGCAGAGCAGATTTTCCAATTAACTTCACACAGTCGCCGTCCCAAAAGACAAATCTGGCCTTGTATTTCTCATCAATTTCCAAAACTTCAAGCTTGTACCTATATAAATCAAAGTACATCAAACATGATTCAATTTGGAACATATATTATAACTATTTTTCTCATAGTTATACAACACAATGTTTCAAGTCATACCTTGGCACCAGTTCAGATGTTATATAGTTTGCATATCACTTGAGTTTTCCATCTTTTAGAGACACACTTTTGGCACATTCACCACACCTATCGTAATACCAACCTGCGTGACCAACTTCAAATTTGTCCAACTTTGCAACGGTCACACAGGTTGTCTCCTATAGGAAGAACAATTACTTATCAAATATGAAAAACCCAAAGTTGTAGAATAAAACCAACAATTAGGACAACCTCACTTACTTGTTTAAGAGTTGTAATTTCAGCCAAACTAAGAATATCAGCCTTCCATACAAATGTATCAAACTCATAATAATGTGAGTTTTTGGTAGTTTCAACTTGCAAGCTAGATGAACTTAACTTCGGCAATTTAACACTAAGACTGTGAGGCATGTAACAAAGGAAACAATCGTAAATGAAATTGAACCAGATTGCAAAAATATCAAAAATATACACGCACAAATTTATATACAAAGTTGTTATGAATTACCTTTGTTTTAGCTTATTAATCTCAAGATTGTTAACATCATTTATGATAAACTTTGTGCCAGTCCAAGCGTTGGACACATTCAACGGAAAACCACCTTTCAACAGGTATAAAATATATTTGTAATGAAGATGATACATTAGCAATTAAACACTTCAACATACACGATAAATATTACCTTGGGAGCCTTTTATCCTTGCATTCTGCAATAGAACAACAATGTTTCCTTCTTCACTGTGATTCTTGTAATAGTCATAAAACTGCATAGCAAGTTGACCCTATAGGGTACATTGAACGAAAGTTTTGCTGCCAATATAATAAAAAAAACACATTTGTTTGTAATCAGGCGCCAGCAAATAAGAATAAAAACGCGTAAACTCAAACCAATCAAAAATAAAAAAATTGCTTGTACACATGTAAAATCAGGTTTGTTCATACCTCGTGTCAGTTATCATCAACACAACCTTGCTTTTGTTGTTATCTGCGTTAACTTGAGTCTGCACAATTTTTAGTAACTCCTCTAACAATATCTAAACAAAATTAAGTCACAAAGTATAACATACAGATAAGAAAATTCTAATAGTTAAATATACTTATGAAAGTACCAACTAACACATTAGATTGAAACTTTCCCTCAGTTATGGATGTCAAACCAAGAATGTTGAAATAATTTATAGGGATGTCTGGTAGCTCTGCTCTCTTAACAGAAGTTGAACCACAAAAGACCAACTTGAAACCATGAGTAGTTGATTTAAAAGAGAAATCGTTCTTTGAAACCTTGAAATTCTGCATGATATATGAACTTTCCACAACAAGTTTAGCCAAGTACTTCGAGAACAAATGTGATGGTACAATTGCTTGAATCATATCAAGCTAAAAAACCAAATATAGAACTTCGAAAAGTTATTTCAGCTTCATCAAATCAACATGCAATAAAAAAACACGAAGTTATACCCTTGAATCAACCAAAATTAGTTCCAAGTGTTCTTTGTTTGACAAACTTGTCACAGTCCACATATGTCTACAACGAACGACAATCTTCCATAAATCTTTTTAGTCATTAATGTCCCTAACAGACTCAATCGGTCGCGTCATTGTTTGTTTGAAAGCTGGGAAAAAAACTCAGCCAATGCAAACGGAAGTTAAATATAACAATTATAAATACAAATATGGCAAGATGTTAAGAGATTGGTGACGGTAATGATGAATTAGCATCTCAAAACCTGTGGTGGCGGCGGTGGGGAATGAGCGGCGGTGGTGAATGGCGTAGAATGATGGAAGGCATAATAAGTTTGGGAGAGTGTAGATGTTGATATTAGAGAGTCATCACTTAATATCAATGCATAGGTGATCTATAATTTCAACTTTCAAAGTGGTTCTTCAATATCCAATGTAGGCAATGGAAGGTAAATATACCATGTCTCTACATCGGTCTTTTTTTCATATTACCGATTTTTAGCATGAGAATTTTCAAAAAATGACACATCAGCTGCATTAATTGCCAAATATCTAATATTACAACAATATTGTAATTAGTCGTTAATGCCCTTTTTGCTTAAATGTAATTTTAAATTTAATGAGAAGGGTAAACATGAAAGTTAGTGAAAAAATATTTTAATAGTTAGATATTAGACCATCTCCAACGGTGGTTCTTCAAATTGGTTTGCCAACTTGGCATTGAAATTGTCAACAAAAAATTGTTCCAGCTGGTGAACGTTCCTTGCATAAGTCATGGTTCTTCATTTTTTTTATTATTGGTTTTATTTATTTTTTTAACTTTTTTTTTATTTATTATAAATATAAGTTTGTTGCAAAAATTTATAACAATCCTATTTTCTCTCTCACAATTTCATCATTTTATTCCTAAATTATTATTTTCAATTTTATGTTTAATTTTAATTTTATGTTCAGTTTATATTTATAGTAATTAAAATTTAAATATTTAAATTATAATTTTAAATAAAATAAATTTAATATAAATAATATATTTAAGTAAAGTAGTGGGACCCAATATGGGTTCTTTGAAGTTGCACCATTGGAGTGAAAATTGAATAAGTTATTTTAGAAGAGTGGATCCCACAAAGAACCTAAAAATGGGTTGCACCATTGAAGGTGCTCTTAGATGTTTTGATATTTCAAACACATGAATTGAAATTTGATACGTAATAAGTTATCATTATATTAATGTTAACCAACTAAAAATATAATATCATACTTAACATGCAGGAATGAATATCTTGCACAAATTTTTTACTAGTATATTGTGAAAGAAAGTGATAGAAAACATAAACTTACTAAGATTTTAATTAAAAACGTAATAAATGTAAAAATGTAAAAGCATTTTTGTTTTGGTTCATATATATTATTTTCAATATTGTTCTTTTAAGGTCGACTAATTGTCCTTTTCAGAAAGGGCAAGAACATTGAACCCAAAGAAAAAGGCATTTACATATTTTTAACGATCATTTTGTTTAATCCTCCAACGCAACTATCATCTTAACGTTAATGCTCTTTTATAAACTTGGAATTAGAAACGTGGTTTTTGTGACACTAATTTTCCTTAATTTTTTTTTCAATTGTTTTCCCTAACAAACAGACAATAATTATTAACTAGTTTAGTGACATATTTTGAAATTATAAAACATTATAAATACAAATGTGTGTCTTTTGTATCTTATATTTCTACATAATTATTAATTGAATTAATTTTTGAAAAAATAATATATATTTTTTGAATATGATTATCTTGAAACTTCATGATGAGAACTTATTATAAAAGAAAAAACAAAATATTCCTTTTTATAAAAAAAGAATATAACATTTTTGCTTACATCAGTTATAATCTCCCTATTTAAATCCTAAAATATATAAGAAGAGGTATGCTATCATGACACCCTTTTTTTACACCATGCAAATGTACACCGTATATGGCTATAGTTTTAGCCTGGCACAAAAACCAAAATTCAATAAAAAACTATTAAAAAAATAATATGTATGTATTTATGATATAAAGGTACGGTGTAGATGTATAAAATGGTGTCATAATATCATTTCTCATATAAGAATAATAAATACATTAAAATTTATTTATTTTTTACTTTGTTAGTCAATATAATTTTCAATTTTCACAACACTTTCCTTGTACTACATTTTTTTATTCACAAGAATCATATTCAAGTCTTCTTTCTGATATTTGACTATGTATAACAAATATTAAGAAATCATCAATTTTTTATAAGAAATTTGACTTGAGTACACTGAGATAAACACAATTTAAAAATATTTTACTCTTAATTTTTGAGATTTTTGCTGCAAAAGTTATATTTTTGTTTACAGTAGATTAGTAGTATTTGGTAAAGGTGGTATCTTTGGTGTCCTTTGGGGTTGGCAGTGAGAGAGATAAAGTGGCTTTCTATCTTTCTCTACTGATTTCCGCCATTTTCATGCTTCCATCTTCACACACTACAGAGAAATGGAGAGTTTTCTACTCTTCTTCTTCTTCTTCACATCTTCACTCTTTCTTCTTCTCCCTTTTTCATCTTCTCAGATCATGCAAGGTATATATCTCATTACTTATTTGTTTTTGATTTACGCTTTCATGTTGTTGATTTAGGGTTTCACTGGTTATGTCATAACGAGCAGGTTTTATAAGTTTGGACTGTGGAGGTGCAGAAAGTTATACTGATGAAATTGGTCTTGATTGGACTCCTGATAATAAGCTTACATATGGAGAAATAGCCACTATTTCTGTTGCGAACGAGACGCGGAAGCAATACACGACGTTACGATATTTTCCTGCGGATTCCAGAAAATATTGCTACACTCTTGATGTTATCAGTAGGACAAGGTATTTGTTAAGGGCGACTTTCTTGTATGGAAATTTTGACAAGAACAATGTATATCCCAAATTTGATATTTCTGTTGGAGCTACACATTGGTCTACTATTGTTATATCGGATGCTACTAGTATAGAAATGAGAGAGCTTATATTTTTGGCTTCGAGTTCGACTGTGAGTGTATGTTTATCAAATGCAACAACTGGACAGCCGTTTCTGTCTACGCTTGAACTTCGACAATTCAATGGTTCAATTTATTTTACGGAATTTGAGAAACAATTTTACTTAAGTGTCTCTGCAAGGATCAATTTTGGTGCAGAGAGTGATGCTCCCATCAGGTAGGTACCTCCGGCTGTTCTATATCGTGTGGTTTTGTTACAGTATTTTGTCTTTTAAGAGGCTTACATTTATTCGGTTTCAGGTACCCCGATGATCCTTTTGATAGAATTTGGATGTCGGATTCTATTAAGAAAGCAAATTATCTTGTTGATGTTGCTGCTGGAACTGAGAAAATTTCTACCAATGTACCGGTTTTTGTTAACCGAGATGAAATACCACCAATGAAAGTTATGCAGACAGCGGTAGTAGGTACAAATGGATCTCTAACTTACCGGTTGAATTTGGATGGTTTTCCTGCCACTGCTTGGGCAGTCACCTATTTTGCAGAGATTGAAGATTTGCGTCCAACTGAATCTAGAAAGTTCAGGCTTGTGCTTCCAGGCCAACCTGAAATTAGCAAGATCATTGTAAATATTGACGAAAATGCTCTTGGGAAATATCGCCTTTATGAACCGGGATTTGTCAATCTAACCCTACCTTTTGTGCTTTCCTTTAAATTCGGCAAGACATCCGATTCATCCAAGGGGCCTCTCCTTAATGCCATGGAGATAAATAAGTATCTTGAGAAAAATAATGGTTCACCGGATGGTAAGATATGGTTCTTTGGCTTATTTGAGACTGTAGAAAATTCATTTAATAAGTATTTGGTTGCAATGCAAAACATTATGACCTAGACGTTCGATGCAGTAGAAAATTATAATTTATGTTTTAGATGGGTTGATTATTTTGCAGTTGAAGCTATTTCCGGAGTGCTTTCTCGCTATTCTTCAGCAAACTGGACACAAGAAGGAGGTGATCCATGTCTTCCTGTTTCCTGGTCATGGATCCACTGTAGCTCAGATCCACAACCAAGAATAATTTCAATGTAAAGGTTAATCTTTTTGATGTTTTAATTATGCCTATGTAGATTCCTTCTCCTTCCCCCAAAAAGAAAAATGAAAAGCCACCTTACTTCTGATAAAGGAGAAGTGTATGTGAGTTTTAACTTGTAACTGTTACCTTGTCCCTTGTGGTTGCAGCTTGTTATCCAGTAAAAACTTGACTGGGAATATTCCTTCAGATATTATCAAATTGGTTGGTCTGGTTGAACTGTAAGTTTCATCTTGATTTTCAACCTTTGTCTCTTGTTTGATCTGTGAACCTTATATTGTGATAGTGATGTAATTTTATTCATTGATGTAGATGGCTTGATGGAAATATGTTGACCGGCCCAATACCCGATTTTACTGGATGCGTGGACTTAAAGATCATGTAATCCCTGATTACTCATTTCCTTCATCATGCTATGCAGTAGTATTCAGTTAATTGAATCCTTTTCCTCTTACAGCCATCTTGAAAATAATCAGTTCACCGGTGTGCTCCCAGCCTCTTTGGTGAACCTTCCGAGTCTGAGGGAACTGTAAGTTATTTGGAACAGACATCAATTGTTTTACCAAACTGGAAATTATTATACTTTTGATGCATACAATAGCAATGGGACTTATACTTCACAACTAATATTACTTATGTTGCTTCATTCTTTTGTTTTATTTTGTTGTGATGCCTATGATGTTTGCAGATATATTCAAAATAATATGTTATCTGGAGCAGTACCGCCAGAGCTTCTAAGCAAGAATTTAGTTTTAAAGTGAGTATAGTTTTTCCTTTCTAACTTAAAAATGAGATGAAACCATGCAGCATTATATTTGAGATAATGGATGAATTTATTTGCCGGTTGTATCTTTAGGAAGTGGTTCAAATTAATGTTTTTTTAGAGCATTTTCTTCTGTCCTTAATTTTATGATTCTCTCTGAATCATATGTACATGATAACCACTTCTTCTTTTTCCGTCATCAGTTACTCCGGAAACATTAACCTTCATAGAGGAAGCAAAACAAAGAGCCGCATATATATTATTATTGGTTCAGCAGTTGGGGCTTCTGTTCTACTTTTGGCTACTATTATATCTTGCTTGGTTATGCATAAAGGCAAGAAAAAATATTATGAGAAAGGTAGGGTTCTAAGCACAATTGTTTCTTTTGCTGTCAGATATTTGTAGCGACCAAACATGATTTACTTGTTTACACTCTTTATAGACCACATAGTTTCTGTCCCTACTCAAAGGCCAGCTTCTTGGAAGAGTGATGATCCTGCAGAATCGGCTCACTGCTTCAGCTTAGCTGAAATTGAAAGTGCTACAAACAACTTTGAGAAAAGAATCGGTTCTGGTGGTTTTGGAATTGTATACTATGGAAAGCTGAAAGAAGGAAAAGAAATTGCAGTTAAAGTTCTTAGGAATAATTCCTATCAAGGCAAGCGCGAGTTCTCCAATGAGGTAATTTGCATTATACCAACATTTCTAAGTATTTCAGCATTGCACTATCCTTATTGCTTTGGTTCAATGAATTGATATGATGGTTATATTATATCTTTCTTTGATCCAGGTGACTCTTCTATCAAGAATACATCACAGAAACTTGGTACAACTTCTTGGGTATTGTCGAGAAGAAGATAATAGTATTCTTGTGTATGAGTTCATGCATAATGGCACACTCAAGGAACATCTCTATGGTAAGCCTACATGATTTAAATCTAAGATCCAAAGTCAGTGTCATGAAATTTGCCGAACTTCTTGCAGGCCCTTTAGTGCACGGACAAAGTATCAGTTGGATTAAGCGCCTTGAGATTGCAGAAGACTCTGCCAAAGGTTTATGTTTTATAGTCCCGATGCATTATTTAAGATGATTGAATCAAATAGCCCTTCCCATATGCTAAATCACATGCAATTAACTATAATTCTCTCATGCTTCTCCAGGAATTGAATACCTTCATACAGGTTGTGTTCCTGTTGTTATCCATAGAGACTTGAAAAGTAGCAATATTCTTCTTGACACACACATGAGAGCCAAAGTTTCAGATTTTGGTCTTTCCAAACTTGCTGTTGATGGAGTTTCCCATGTTTCAAGCATAGTTCGCGGAACAGTAGGATACCTGGATCCCGAGTAAGGCCTTTGTTTATTTTCAATTAATATTTGTATTTTAGTAAAAAAAAATAAAATATTTCTCGCACACTTTTGATTGACTTATGGTCCAAGTTACCTAAACTTTGTGTCAATTCTCTTTTTTCTTTCTATAGGTACTATATTTCCCAACAGCTAACTGACAAAAGTGATGTTTATAGCTTTGGTGTAATTCTTCTTGAACTCATATCTGGTCAAGAAGCAATATCAAATGAAAGTTTCGGGATTCATTGTCGAAACATAGTTCAGTGGGTGAGTTTTGATTACTCTGCAATCTGGAGTATTAAAATGTGTGATTTCTGAAATCCTTTTTCATTTTTTTTCTACCTCCACTGTTTCATAGGCAAAATTGCACATTGAGAGTGGAGATATACAAGGCATTATTGATCCCTTGCTAGGTAACAACTATGACCTACAATCAATGTGGAAAATAGCAGAGAAAGCATTGATGTGTGTTCAACCTCATGGAGATATGCGCCCATCGATCTCAGAAGTTTTAAAGGAGATCCAAGATGCAATATCTATTGAGAGAGAAACTGAAACATTAAGAGAATGCAATTCTGATGAGGTTTCAAGAAATTCTTTTCATTCTTCCATGAACATAGGTTCGATGGATCTTGGTAGAGTTGGGAGTTTCCTTTCAATTGATGAAACCATTGCGCAACCAACTGCAAGATAGATTTATTTTCTCTAGTATAAAAGCACAATGTTTTTCTATTTATTTTTTCTCGAATTTTATTTTATCACTTCTCCTTTTTTCTTGAGTGTGTTCATATTGTGTATGTTTATTGGAGTTAATGTATGATATTTTTCCAAGCAATGGTACTGTATACATCGGGTGGTTATTCTCGGATTTTATTTGTTGGCTGGGCATAATGGTAGAAATTAATTTTAATTTGGCTTAAAGGTACTTTTGGGTCTTTTTATTTTCATGTTTTTTATTTTCTAGTCCTTTTATTTGGTCTCTCAATTTTATTTTTCTTGGGATTTATTTGGTTTCTCTCCATTTTTGCAAATGGGATAATGATGATTAGAATGAAAAATTATTTTTAATGACGAAAGAGTCTTGAATAGGATAATTTATTAATTAATATTTTGAAATTTTTTCTGGATTTTTGATGGTTTCAAGTTTTACTTTTTTAATTGATTACTATGTGATGAAATTGATAAATACGGAAAGGAAATGACACGGCGATATATCCTGATTTTCCTCATAGTCCGAGAATACTCTAATCCCCTTTTAACACGAAACAGATTTTCACTAATGTTAGATTTTAGGACATGACACACCTAGTCTTCCTACACAAGACTCTAACAAAATACCAAAAATAATACTCTTGGATTTTTCACTAAGTTGTAATGAAAATAATCTTTTCAAACTCAGCTCTCTTACTTCCAACAATCTTGAATTACAATAAATCCTATAAGAAGAAATAATCCTCCTTCTTATAGTACACACCTAATTCCAAACAATCCTTGGAACTTAAGACTTTTTACAACAATTTCAATAAAATGAATATGTGAAGATTTGTAGTATTCTTTAAGACTTATAACAAAGCCTTCTTCTCTTTTAAATATGAAAATTCAAGACAAATTCTCTCTAAGTGCTCAAGATACTTTTATGATAATAATGTGAAAATGTATTTCAAAAAGTATCTTAGTATGAAAAATGTGTAAAAAATAAATGTAGAGAGATTTTAATATTTTTATGAAAGAGGTAAATGAAAAATGAAAATTTGAAATGAATTTATAGTGATGAAAGCAACCATTCAAAAGTCATGGCAATGGTTGGAGAAATTATGAATTTAATAAGAGAAGTGATGTAAGGGATGCCATGAAAAGATATGATGAAAATCTACATTCAAACAAAGCATTTTCCAATTTCAAAATCAAAATACTGTTTCAGTTAGGTGTTTTTATATTCTTACGACGGTTCAAAGCGTCATAATTTACCAAAAACTGAATGTTTGAAAAAATTGAAAAATTTAAAATTTGTCTAAGCATTTGAACCAATTTTATGCAACATATATTGATTTATCCAATTCAATAGATTATATTTGAAAGTGATTTAATATGGTTCAAATATAAAAAATAATTTTTCCAATGCAAGAAATATTTTGAGCACTAAGAAATGTTTTAATCAATAATTTCATATATACCTAAAAGTTTGATTAATCCAATTTTGCAAGTGTAGTCAATTCTTATGCATTTCTTATTTTTCCTTCTTTGATCATATCATTGTCGAGCTTGTTTTCATCAATAGGTTTGTCTTCATCAAAATACATTAGAAGCTTGTCTTCACAGATTATCCGTCCATGCGAGGGAAAATCCGGGAGTGCCATCCCCTTAGTGGTAACTAGAAAAGAACTATCTTGTCCCCTCATCCTTACAAATTTATCTTTCCAACCTTTGAATAGAGTTCTCCCAAGAAAACCGGTTAGAGTAACCAACCCCAGCGGACAAACGCCTTGGTACAATAAAAAGAGAAAAACATGTTGATGGTTGGGTAAAACCCTAGCCACTAGCATATAATCCTTAATGCCATAATAAGGCTTTAGCCATTGGGTGTGATTTAAGAGGGGGCTACATTGAGCAGCGTAGGAACTATTGTTGCGAAGGAGGAAAATGAAAGGCGAACCCCAACCTTACGAATGTTAGGTAAGTAACAATAAAAGAAATAGTGGAAAAGGGGTCAGAGGAGGTTATGTTGGCCTTCTCAACCAAAAAGCACACCTCTAAAATAACTTATTCTTCATCGGGGGAGGAAAATGCAAGTTGCTACTAAAGGGAGGCTATTTGTCATCACTGGTGTAGATGGACCCAACTTCCCTTACATCTTTGGCCTCAGAATCAAAGGTGTACATAATCTTCATGTTTCTTAGGAAAAAATAAAAGGAAATGAGAATTCAATATCACTACCACCACCGTTATCACTGTCATTAGTAAGAGAACTTTCACAGTTTCCAAACATGCATAACTCCACTAATATACAATAAATAGTCTTGTTAGCAGACCTAACATTTCTATAACAATATGAATGAATGCAAGAAAAACTGAGGAATGGGGGTTTGAAGTATATGCACTCTAAAAAACCCAATGCATAATATGATTAAAATGATGCAAGGAAAGATGCAAGATGAAAATGAAGATGTTCGATTTGTTTGACCAAACAAAACTTAGAAGATGCACTGTGGAGTTGACCAAATATATCATTACGGTCTTTTTACCAATTATTATGTTTCTTAGGCAATAGGTATGCAACTAGTAAGATATGATATTGTTAAGGAGGTTTGGGACAACTTGGGACATTTGCATAATTTGTATAATTTTGCAAAACGATATCATATGGAAAGTGATATTAGAGCTCTTCAATAGAATAATATGAGCGGCCGTAGTAGATCCCTGAAATTGGTACTGCGAAATCATTTTTGCCATAACTTTGTTACCATAAGTCCAAATCGAGTTTCGTTCGAATAGTTGAAAAGCTAACACGGATTACTATCAAATGAAATTACTTCCAGAGGCTGATCATGAAAATTATTTGATGATTTTGATATTTGAAAGAAATGTTGAACTTGAGACTTGTTTATCTTTCGACGATTTTTGTTATACCTTTCTAATCGTGTATCCAATTGACGAGCCGTTTGAAGTGTTAGAAAGATAAAGCTCAAAACTATAACATAGTCGTAATAGGTGAAATGTTTAAGTATTATTTATATGCCTACTGTATTGATGAAGTGTTAGTTTATATGTTCGTATAATGAATCGTTGTATTGTTGTGCTAATATTATGTGATAATTATGTTGCTATGTTGATATTATTATGATGATATTGTTGAGATGTTGAGTTGATGAAGTTTGATGTTGTTGATATGATGTGATGTTGATGATATTGATATGATATGATGTGGATATTGTTGATATGATGTGATGTTGATGATGTTGTAATGATGTGATGTTGATGATATTGTTGTGATAATGTTGTTAATGATGTGCATGTATAAATATTTACATGATGTGTTTATGATGATTATGTTGATGGTGACATACACGGTTAGAAGATGGGCTTATGCGTATGTGTTGTTGTTGCATGTTGTGAATCATGCATCCATATTGTTGGAACTTTGGTTCTATTTTGGTGTGGCCTTGATACTATGGCGGGAATCGGGTGCGAGTAGATAATTCCTATGGTGGGGAATTAGTGGACGTTACCTATGACGGGGTAGTGATTTTGTTCTCGCCTCGATCCTATGGTGGGGATCGGGTGCGAGTAGCTAATTCCTATAGTGGGGAATTAGTGAAGCGTTACCTATGGTGGGGTAGCAATTTTGTTGTGCTCCGGTTCAAGAGTGAACCATATCCTATGGTGGGGATCCTGTATCCGATGATGATGGAACAGGGAGCAATATGAACCTAAGTGTTCATAACTTGGTACAACATGCATATTGAGTCAGTGCATTGTATTAACATTGCATTCTTGTTGATTGGTTGTTGTTTAGGATGATGATGTTGGATGACGAATTGTGAAGTATATAATATCCTAGTATAAGATGATGATGTGATGGTTGTGAGTAAAGTAACACGTTATTGTAAATGGTTATATATGTTTGTTGTATGCTACCTTTTACTTATTTTGTTTATAATTGATTATGATTACTCACCTCTTCTGTTTGAATGTTGCCTACATGTGGGTAACACGCAGATACTCGGGAGTAGACTCCAAGGAAGTAAATGGAAGCTAGCTATTGGAGTTCATTTCAGTTTTTGTTTTAAGTATGAGGGATTCTGCTATGATTCATATAACACTGGGTTGGGGTTAACGCTTGTCTTCTTAATTTATTATGTTGTTTATTTCAAAGTATTTGTTAATAATGTCATGGTGATATTCTAAGATGTTGAATTAAGTGTTGATGAAACTTATCTTTTGTTGATGCTATGGATATTGGAGTTTAACACTCAATTTTAGTTGTAGAATTATAATTGAATTTCTTATGTTGAATTCGCTGAGTTGTTTCTAAAAGAACTTGACATTGTAAAAGCCTCATACATTAGTATGTTTGAATTAATATATGTTTTTGTGTAACCCATGTTACGGAGCAGGATAATTGTGATGTTTCATGAAGTGTGACACCCTTATGGTTGTGTTTATATGATTAAATTAATCATTATTTTCGTGGAGTTTTTAGAAGTGTGACACGACCTTTTTGGCTCCAAATTTGAAGTGTTTAGTGATCACAAGAGTTTAAAGTATTTGTTCGACCAGAAGAAGTTGAATATGAGGCAAAGGAGGTGACTCGAAATTCTGAAAGATTATGATTTTGAATTGAGTTACCATCCCAGTAAAACTAATATTATAGCTGATGCACTGAGCAGGAAGTCCTTACACATGTCGATGCTTATGGTTTGGGAGTTGGAACTGATTGAGCAATTCATAGATATGAGTTTAGTATGTGAGGAGACTCCTAACAGTGTGAATTTGGGTATGTGAAAGCTGACGAGTGGTATTCTAGAAGAGATAAGAGAAGGTCAGAAAATCGACTTGGCTTTGATTGACCGATTATTGTTAATTAACAAAGGTAACAGAGGTGATTTTTAGGTTGATAAGAATGGCGTGATGAGGTTCAGAGATAGAGTGTGTATTCCAGATGTTCCAGAAATTAAGAAGAGTATTCTTGAATAA